ACATCTGGTGGACTGCAGTTGTTTGAAGCCTCTAAGTTTTGAGATGGTTTATTACTTAGCAAGACATAAACTGGAAGAGTTAAGATCAGTGAACAGACCTATAACACTTGAAAAATGGAAATAAGCATGCAAGCCAGGCGTGGTGGGACTTACTTGCAATTCTAGCATTCAGCAGGCTGAGGCAGGAGGATCACAAGTTTGAGCCTAACCTGGGCAATTTAGTGGGACCCTGTCTCAGAGAAAGAGAGGGAGAGAAAGATGAGTGGATATAAAGTGTTTTGCATTAAGTAAATTCCTATGAAACATTGCTTCGCCCTGTGTAGGAACAGCTACACATTTTGTGGGCCCCAGTGAAAACTGAAAACACAGGGCTCCCTGTTTAAACCGTATTAGTCACTTTCAAGATGGTGACCGCGGAGCACCAAACCAAGCCCAGGGCTCTCCTGATGTGGGGCCCTCAGCAACCACAGGGTTACAAACGGCAAGCAACGGACTCTCTGCTCCTCTGACACTTCATCTCTGATTACAGCTCTTACAAAACTGCCTGGTAAACACAGCCCCAACTCTCTTATCTATGATTATTATTTTGAGACAGGGTCTCACTCTATTGCCCAGGCTGGCCTCGAAGTCCTGGACTCAAGCAATTTTCCTGCCTCAGCCTCCCCAGTAGCTAGAATTACAGCCATGTACCCTTATATCCACCTCTGCTGGTTAATTCTTTTTTTGTTTGTTTGTTTGTTTTTCTTCCGGTACCAGGAATCGAACTCACAACCTTGCGCTTGCCAGGCAGGCGCTTTGCTGCTGAGCTAAATCCCCAGCCCCTTCTGCTGGTTAATTCTGACACCATGTTTTTTCAGGGTTTTTTCTTCCCCCTTTTAAAAATTTTATTGGTACATTTTAGACATACATAATGATCACATTCATCATAGGGAATTTGTACCTGTTCATGACATCTCTTGCTTCTTTTTTTCCATTCCCCTCCCCTCCCTTCAACCCCTCTTTCCCTCATTTACAAATGACACCATGTTTTTAAGGAGAATGAAAATCAGTACGTCACTTTTCCCACACCCTGTTTCCCCTCCGCCAGAGTGCAGCAGGGGACCAGGGACAGACAGATGAACCCCTGAGGGGCTGCGGCCAGCCTGGGAAATGGGGAGGCACTTTCTTGATTCATCTTCCTTGCGGGGGCCCTGCGCTTGGGCAGAGAGCAGGACACAAAGTGTCACCAAGATGGTAAAGGGCCTGTGGCTGTCAGGCTGTCCTAGCAGGGGTTCTGGGCCTTGGCCACAGCTCTAGGGCTCCCTGCAGCGCAGTCACAAAGCCTTTGTTCCAGGCTGGGCGTGGGGGCACATGCCTGTAATCCCAGTACGCAGGAGGCTGAGGCAGGAGGGTCATTGCGAGTTCAAGACTAGTTTGGGCTACAAAGTGAGCTCAAGGCCAGCCTGAAGTGCACAGCGAGACCCTGTCTCAAAAAGACAAAAAAAAAAAAAAAAAAAACAACAAATGAGCCTTTGTTCCAGGAGCCGCACCAAAGGCCTGAACCTGAGCCCCGACTGTCTGCATGGGATATGCCCTCCTGCCTGCCATCAATAGTACAAGAAGGGCCCATAAAAATGGAAAACAAGGGGCTGGGGATTTAGCTCAGCGGCAAAAGCGCCTGCCTGGCAAGTGCAAGGTCGTGAGTTCGGTTCCCAGTACCGGAGGGGAAAAAAAAAAAATGGAAAACAGATTTATTCCCAATTTGGCTACCTTAGGGCACACAGAAGCCTCCAGCTTGTGGGAGGGGCAGGACCCACGTGCATGTGTGGGTTCATTCAGGCTGTGGCCACCAAAGAGCCAGGAGATGTCGAATCTTCTTTGCCACCAGGGCAGCTTCTGCTGTCAGACTGAGGAAGTTGGGGAAATAGGTTGCTATGCGTTCTGGCTGGCCTGGAACTCACTATGTACTCTAGGCTGGCCTCGAGCTCTCAGCGATCCTCCTGCCTCAGCCTCCTAAACGCTGAGATTACAGGTATATGCTACCACGCCCAGCTAAAAATCCTAGTCTTTGAAGGTTCTTTTTAACCTCTTGGTTACCCTTCCAAGGAAAGTGGCTTTAGGAACGAAGCTCTGGCTAGGCTCGCTCTGTGTCCTTTCTGTACGCTCAGAGGGCTCAGACAGCCACACCTGGCCGGCCCTTGGGTCTCAGGCAGGTGTCCCCAGATCCCCGGATGATGAAGAATAAAGTCAACCTCCTAACTCCCCAGCCATGGCAACTTAAAGGTGAAATAAAACCCTCGAGGGAGGCAGAGTACTTGATGATGTCTCTGATACAAACCCAACCCTGGGCCCCAGAGACAGCCAGGCCACCTGGGCCCAGGGAGAGAACCAAGTTCCAGAGTTGAGGGAAGGGCACATCACGACACCGCAGGCCTCCCACAGGCAACTGCTTCATCCCTTGTGCGGACCAGGAAGCGACAGTGCGCAGGGCCTTCCTCGGACTGTGGGCCTGGGCCTGGCAGAGCTGGGGCTGAGCCGGGGTTGCCACTGAGGCGTTGTCAAGAAACACATGGGCTGAGGAGGGGGAAGACAGGGCAGGCCCTGTCCGAAATGGGGAATGGGCTCGGGCCTCCGAAAGTAGATGCAAGGCCAAAAACAAACAAAGGCCTCCAGCCCCCTCAGGAGTTTTCCCTTTGGCTTTCACTTTCCCTGAGAGAAAAAAGAGGAACCTACAGGAGGGACTCTACCCTCCCTCCGCGGCAGTGAGCGAGACCCAAAGCCAGGACTGCAACCAGGAACATTGTCTTAGTTCCCTGGCCTTTCTGGAAAACACATCCAAGTGCTTCCTGGCTGCCAGCAACTGCGGCGCCGGCCCCAGCTTCCTTCTGAAGTAGGTTAGACGGTCTTTGATGCCCCCGGGGGCTCGGTCTTTCTTGCTCGAGGCTGGGATAATACCAGGATGTGCATTGTTCTGCGGGGGGAGGCGCAGAGGTAAACATCCAGCAGTGCTCTGCGATAAGATCTGACACCTTACAGAGGCTCTGCTGCCAGGCTCCACAACCCACAGGTGCCCTGTGAACCTCCTGCTGCTCCCTACCCCCTAGCTCACAAGCTGCCCCACCCAGAGCTCCTCCCCCGTGACACGGCCTGCAGCCTTCTCACCCCAGGGCCTTTGCACAAGCCACTCCCCCACCTTCCAGACCTTGCTAGCTTGGTACATCACTGGATGGAGCCCAGAGTCCTGGGGGACACCTTCCCCAGCTCCAGTGCCCCTTGCAGGGGGCCCTTGTAAGCAGGATGGGGCTGAATTTGGTTGTAGGAATGGCTGGCTCCTGGGACGGGATGAGACAAAGCTGCCGGTCAAGGGGTGTACATCACATGTCAGGTGACAACTCAGGGAAGCCTCAAGACCCCATCAGGCAACAACTAATACCCCCATCTCTTAGCCAAGCAAAGTGAAAGCTACGGTTTGCCCACAACACAACCGGGTGGCAACTTGACTGCCGCTGTGGTGCGGTGGGGCCCTGAAAGAGGGTTCGGGTCACTCACGGTGTTTCAGAGTCAGTTAACACTCTCTGGAAGGAGTGTGTCATCCCCTCCCCCAGGAGGGACGGGACCAGTTATCACAGAGTGGGCTTTAGAATCGGGTGTCCCTACTGCCCCTCTATTTTCCCACCTTGGGTTGACATGGCCGTCCAGAGCCAGGCCTCTCCAGAGCCATGAGCCAAAACTCTTCAGACATTCCCCAGGGCTGGCCGTGGAGGCACACGCCTGTAACCCAGCACTTGGGAGGCTGAGGCAGGAGGATCCTTGTGAGTTCAAGGCCAGCATGAGCTACGCAATGAGTTCATGGCCAACCCAAACTACATAGTGAGACCCTATCTCCAAAAACAAAAACAACAACAAAAAAAAAAGAAAAGGAAAAAAAAAAAAATTCCCCAGGCTCAGGTGTTACAGCCAAAAAGAACGAATCGAGCTTCTGAGCTTTTGAGAGGTCATAGAACTAAACCTAGCCAGCTGGCTGGTCAACAGCAGAGCTGAGATTTGAAACCAGGCGTGGTAACACACTCCTGTAATCCCAGCACTCGGGAGGCTGAGGCAGGAGGATCACTGCAAGTTCAAGACCAGCCTGGGCTACAAAGTGAACTCAAGGCCAGCCTGAACTGCATAGTGAGACCCTGTCCCAAAAAAAGACAATAAAAGGGGCTGGGGATTTAGCTCAGCGGCAAAGCGCCTGCCTGGCAAGCACAAGGTCGTGAGTTTGGTTCCCGGTACCGGAGAAAAACAAACAAACAAACAAAAAAAAGACAATAAAAAAAAGAGCTGAGATTCGAACCTGGCTCTCACCCTGGGGCACTGTCCCCTCTGCAGGAGAGAAGGCAGACCTCCAACCAGCCTACATCGATGCTCAGTGACTGGGGACAACTGGCCAGGACCCAGCCCTGCGTCCTCAGGACCTCTGGTTGGCAGGGGGATCGGTCAGGGACTGGTGCCAGGCTGCAAACTTCTAGGAATTGGGAAACAGTTCGCTGACGGGAAACATGCTTTTTCCTTGAAGGCAATAGCTTCCACCGGTCACTTATCACGGCTTCTATCTGCCGGGGCGGAGGCAGGCGGGCTCTCTGCAGCCTGGGAATTGTTACCCAGCAGAGCAGAGCAGGGTGGGGGGCTTCATGCCTCTGCCTCGGTGACCTCAGAACAGCCAGGGGTCAAGCAGGACCTCGCACACATCACTGTGCCGGGCTCCTGGGCTGCACACACGGGTTTAGTGGCCAGGCTGGGGGTGGGGCGCGAGGTCTGCCCATGGCTCTCGGTCTCCACCCTACCTGTGAGTGAAGGGGGCCCCGGGCTGGCTGCCTGAGCTGCACCCAGGGGAGCAGGGCGTCCCCTCCCTCCCAGTCCCGGAAGCCCAAGGCTCACACAGTCCTCCCTCTGCTGCCCTGGGCTTGACACCCTTTCCCTGTTGAAGCGTCTTTCTCCAAAGCTGTGGGATTTTAGAGAGTTAAAAATTGCAAAGGGCGCTGGGTGAGGAACTGCATTATTTGGCCAAGTTACCAGCATGCCCTGTGGTGCCCACATGCTCCTCCTGGGTGCAGCTCTGGGGTGTGCCGAGCACACTTGCTTCATCCTGGCACGAGACAATGGCAAACACCCAAAGTCCTCCTGGCCAGTGTCCAAGTCCTGCTGTGTGACCACCTCTCTCAGTGGCCCGGCTGCTCCAACTTTCCCCAAAACATCTGAGTGGTTTCAGAAACTACGTTTCTGACTCCTGAGGCAGCCTCAACTTCCTCCGGAGAGCAACCGCTGGAGAGTAAACACAGCCCTGCGGGCCTGCGGGTAAGTCCAGGAGTCCCCACGGCGGCTGACCTGCAGATGTGTCATCACCACTTGTTTGTTAAAGAGGCCCAGAGAGCAGGCCACGGGGTGCGAGTCAGAGCAGCGCTGCTCCTTTGGGCGTACCACCCGAAGGGCACCCAAAATCCAGTTGTAGCCACGGAATGCTTTTTCCCTTTGCTGCAGAGTGAGGCCGGTGTGCACGTGACACCAGGGTCTTTCCAGTGCCCACACCTGACGGATGCAGCGGTGTGGGTCAGAGGGCAGGGCCGGGCGAATGGCTTCACAAGCATGGAAGATCTAGGACAGACGCCTCCGCGTTTCCAAGACTGGGCGGGAGGGCCCGCAGAGCGGTTGAGGACTCCAGGGTTGCCGTCCCAGCTCCTTGCCGGGAGGAAATCGCAGGGCAAAGCAGGCAGGCTGTTCTGGGTCTCTAGCTGGGGCCTGGTACTGTAGCTGCTGAAGGCCCAGCATAGGCACCTTGGTCTCAAAATACTCCTGCTGTGGGGACTGCTGAGACATTTTGAGACAAGTGCATGGGTCCTGGGCCCACCTGGGGCTGTGGAATAGGTGCAGGTAGGTGCCATAGAGCCCAAGCAGGCCGGAGGCCAGGCCGGGCTCTCGCTCAACACAGGGAGCAATGCGACAGGCACGGCCCAGATGGTACCGGCACCGCCACCACCGCCCCATCCCTCGACTTCCCTTCTGACTCAGGAGAAAACCACAAGAGCTGGCGCAGGGCCCACTGGGAGCCAGGTTTACTGTAACTGGGGACCGGCAGCGTGCCAGCAAGGCCCGACGGGCATCACCACTGAGGCCAAGGGAGAGAGAGAGCACAGGGGCGCTTGGGAGCAGCCCGTGTCCCCTCTTTCAGCGGGGACTGGCCCTGGAAGTGAGTGTCTGGGGCCAGGTCGGGGGCCAGCACTGTCAGCAGCCACAGGAGTCGAGGTGCCCATCCCTGGTCCCCTGTGTGATGTCAGGACCTCGGTCCGAGCCGCGTGGGCCTCTGCCCACCAGCTTAGCCTCACCACTGCCACCCCGGCACTCTAGGACCCTGGCCACCCTCCCTGCCCCAGTCCAGACCGAGCCTCACTTTCCAGAGGGCCAGGGGTCCTCCTTCCCTTCCTCCTCCACGGAGAACATGACATCTCCGCAGCTGCCCATGGGCGGCTCTGTCTCCTGCTCGGGGTAGTGGGGGGCTTGGTCCACCTCCAGCTCTGCCTCCAGGTCGGTCCCCGTTGGCCCCACAGCACCCCGGCCCTCGGGAGCCTCCGTCTTCACGCTCCCCACGATCACAGTGTCAGCTTTCATGATGTAGATTTTCTCTGCAAGACAAAGGGTTGGGTGAGGCGGGGAAACCAGAGCCCCAGGACAGCAGCAAGAAGCAGGCGGAGGGGCCGAGTCCCTCTCCCGCAGCTCCTGCTGTGGCACTCTAGGAGGGTGGCACAGCCTCTTTGATGCACAGAACCGGGCACCTGCCCTGAAGGGGTGATTTCTAGGCACTGTGAGGACAGCGCAGCGGAGGAGGCCAGCAGCACAGGGTGCAGTGACACTAGGAAAGACAGCGGAGCTGAGCACCTGCCAGACCCTCGTCACGCACCGGCTCTGAGGCTCTGCCAGCGCCGCCCTCGTTGCATGGCCAGGTCAGAGGACCTCCCCGAAGTCATCAAGTGAAGTCCAAAGGAGACCCCGCACCGCCCAGCCGCCCCTTCTGCTGTCATCCCCATGCTGAGGCAGGCACTGGGTGACCGGCCTGTCCCCGTTTGCCAGGAACTGAGAGGGCGGGCCTCCTGGGAGCCTCTCGGAGCAGCCCAGCCTGCCCGGTGCATCACCTCCTGCAGGTGCCTGGGCCCTGCCTACGAGCAGCAGGCAGGGGCTGGGACCATGTTTTGGGGTGTCCGGTGCCCACAGAGGGGTGCTAGGTCAGTCTTACTGGGATGGATGACGCAGCTCTGAAACAGGCTCCACCGAGGCCTGCGGATGTGGAGGCTCGGGGGAGGGAGGCTGCCAAGAAGCCAGAGGGGAGCCCGGGCCGGGGCGAGGGCGGCCAGCGCTGCCCGCCAGGCCCAGCACTGATGGCCTCAGACTCAGGCCGAGCTCCAGCTCTCGGCTCTCCAGCCCTGGGCCCCGGAGACCGCATGCGGAAACTCAAGAGGGAACCGGAAAGCAGGGGTGTGTGCCAAAGGGGCTCAGGGACCCCTGCCTCTCTGGGTAACCCGGTTACACCCCTCCGATTCAGGAACCTCACAGAGATTCCCAGGGGCCCTGGCATCCTCAACCTCGTTGCACAATGTCAGCGCTGCTATTTTGGTTTCTGATCCTCCCAGGAAAGAGAAATGTTAGAAATGACGGCCGGCACCAGGGGCCGGGCAAAGCAAAGGGACCTGCTCAGAAGCAAACGCAGCAGGGACACCGGCCTCGGCTCACACCCTCCATGCAGGCCCGTGAGTGCTGACCAGAGGAGCTGGGCCAGAGACCGGGGCCTGAGGTCACACGCCGAGTGTCCCCAGGTGGTGAGAGGCCGGAGAGGACAGGAGGGACGATAGAAGAGACAGGAGCAGGAAGGCAGGGCCTGGGAAGAGGGTGGGTTTGCAAAGAAGCCGGCGGGGCCTCTGGCTCTGCTCAATCTTGAGGCTGCCAGCCGACCGCTGTGGGGTCTTCCAGGACTGCTAGGGCCTCCTGTCCCCCCATGAGCCCCAGGACAGCTGTGCCTGGGGACGAGGATGAAACTCCAACCCGTGCTTGTCCTGCCCGGGGAATGAATGCTCCTCAGGGTACAAGGAGGACAAGAGGACCTCCAAGGCCTTCCCTGGGTACCCTGTGCCCCGGGAGGCTGGCAAGAGGCTGGGCAAGGCTGCCCCATGGGTGCCACCTCTGCTCCCCTTCTTCCCCTACCCCTTGCTCCACCCCCACCCGACTTCCAGGCACTGCGCTCAGCTTGGACTCATACCCTCTGGCCAGGACTTCTTAGGAAATCTGAAGGCAATATTTCCCAAAATGTGTTCTTTTCTAATACAACTTACTGAAAGCTACAATTGCAAAAGTCTGTTCAAGATGAAAGCTGCCCCACAGTTCTGCTCCCTCCCCACCGCCGCCCACCCCCTCCCGCCAGCAGCCTGCAGCAGGAATGTGTGGAGCCTTTAGGAACGCCTCACCACGCCCACCGAGGGCCAGGGGCCAGAGCACAGCTGGCGAGCAAGGGTGCAGAGGCATCACCCGGCCTGGAGCTGGGGGCGCGGCAGGGGACGCGGGGTCTCGGGCAGAGAGCAGAGGGGCACTGGCCCCTGGTGTGGAGAGGGCAGGGAGAGCTTCCTGGCCATTCTAGGTGGGGAAGCAGCTCCTGCAGAGAGGCTGAGAGGGGAAGGAGGACCTGCACATCGGGAAAGCGGACGGTGGGGTCAGGAGGGCGAGTGGACGGGACGGCTGCCTGTGGCCAGGCTGGGAATCCTGGACCTCATCCTGAAGTCCCCAGTATGTTTACGTCTTCCTCCTGTCCCTTCAGGTGCTCTGCATCGCCGACTCGGGGAGGGACTTCACTTGCTCCTGAATCGCAGCAGGTGCGCTGCTGTGGATTCAGGAGTCTCCCCACGACCCCTGAGGCACACACTCCCGCCGCTCCACCCAGGGCACAGCCTGCACCCAGGCAGGGCCAAGCCAGGGTGTGGGCTGGGGAGCACCCACATCTCTGCCCCGCTGGGCCCTGGTTCCCATCTAGGGCCCACAACCTCTGGCTACCCCAGGACCCCATGAACAGGCCTACTCACCGATGCGGTTATTGGTGTGCTCCGCGGACACCCGGGGCTCGGGCGGCTCCCTGGGGGACGCCTCATCCCCGGCAGGGCTGGCACCCAGCAGCAGCAGGCTCTCGGGGCAGGCCGCCCCCATGTTGGCACGGGTCTCCACAACCGGGGGGCTGGCCACACTCAGCGCCCCTGTACCCGGCTCTGTCCCCGACGCGTCACTCCTGGGCCGCTGCGCAAGGAGAGGGAGTGTTGAGGCAGGACCCCCCCCACTCCCCGCCTCCCGCCTGGGGGAGCCTCCCCTCCGCTTTAGAGCTGCCCCAAGCCACCTGGGGCTTCTCAGCTTCAGCACTCGTGTGCAGCCTCTGCGGGGACATCGGTAGCTTTGAACTCGTATGAAATAATAAAGCTGCAGTCAGCCGCTCGTGAGGCCTTCCGGGTGTCTGGCCGGCTGTGAGACACGGATGTGTTCATTCCCACAACCCCTGAGTGTGAGCTGTGTGATACTAGCACCTGCCCCTTTGACAGACCAGGCAAGTGAGGCAGAGAGGAGTGGAGCGCTTGCCCAGGGTCACACAGCAAGTGCCTGGCCACGACCTGAATGCTGGCGTCTCCTCCAGGCCCCTGCCTTCTGGAGCTTTCCGGTCCCAGGTCCCCAGCCCTGAACTCCTGCAACCAAAGCCTTTTACCTTCATGGACCCTAATGTGTTCAAAAATAGAGCTGTCTTTAGGAGGGTATTGGTTTGTGTTTTAACTCTTACAGGTAAATGCAAAGGAAAGGTGGTCTCACATGGTAATGATTAATATTTACTTTCAGTCTTCAAAAGGAATCAGAACCAGGGGTGGTGATGCACCCTTATAATCCCAGCACTCAGGAAGCTGAGGCAGGAAGATCCCTGCAAGTTCAAAGCCAGCCTGCACTACACAGTGAATTCAAGGCCAGCCTGAAATACACAGTGAGAACTTGCCTCAGAAATTTTTTTTAAAAAAAGCAATTCTAGAAAATCAGAAAGCATATTCTTGAATATTCTTTTATAGTAATTTGAAGGCCAAAAGACTGCCCTTTTAAATAAGTTAGTAGAAGCTGGGAATGGTGGTACAAGCCTGTAATCCCAGCACTCGGGAGGCTGAGGCAGGAGGATTATTGCGAGTTCAAGGCCAGCCTGGGCTACAAAGTGAGCTCAAGGCCAGGCTGTACTGCATAGCGAGACCCTGTCTCAAAAAGACAATAAATAAATAAATAAATTAGTAGAAGGGGTTGACCCATGTAGCAAAATCATATTGCGTGATCTTATAAATCATCGAATATCTTTCTCTTTTTTTTTTTTTGTCTTTTTGAGACAGCTTGAAACCAAGCTACGGTTCTGTGCATTATGTTTGAAGAGCAGCAACTTTGCTTAGCACAGGGATGTGTGGAGTAAAAGAAAGTAATGGAAAAAAAATAAGTGAAAAAGGGCTGGGGATTTAGCTCAGCGGCACAGCACCTGCCTGGCAAGCGCAAGGTCGTGAGTTCAATTCCTGGTACCGGAAAAAAAAAACCCAAAATAAATAAATAAATAAAAGAAGACAAAAATAAATGAAAAAAAATCAAGCAAACAAACATGTGAGCCACACCTGAGACCCAGCCACACGCAAATGCTTCACCCCCACCTCCGGCTCCCAGGAAAGAGTCCTATCCCCATCCTCTCGGCATCCCGGGAAGCTGGGCTGGGGAGGGCAGCAGGACCGGCACCCCCGGGTCCCCAGAGCAGGGCTCCATCCTGCCCTTAGTTGCGGAATGCCTGACTTGTGTGAGCCGCTGGCTCCTCCTTAAGGGCACGAGGCTCCGAGCGTGGAACGGATCTCAGGGACAGCAGAAAGCGCGCAGGCGCCCGGCACACCGCGAGTGTTCAATATGCGGGAGCCCCTCTTTAAAAACCGCGTGCGCCGGCCTGTCACCCAGCTTTGGAGACGAGGTCACGGAGGGAAGGAGGGGAGGGAAAGTATACTGCACCGCCTCCTCCCTGACAGACCTGATGCACAGTGACCAAAACCAATTACCACTGCAAGGCGTTCTGGAAAATCCCCTGCGCCCAGGCCAGGAGCTGGAGGCTGCCGGGGTGGGGGGGACCCTGGCCAAGGTCTGCTGAGGCCCCAGGCTGGGCCCTGAGCCCAGAGCTCTCCACAGAGCCAACCCTGGGCACTAGGGGAGGAGTCTCCAGCGCCCCCCCACCTCCCAGCAGCCTGAAAGGACTGAAGTTTAGGGGCATGAAGCTGGGATGGGGTGAGGAAGGGATACTTACTCTCAGGTTCCTCCTGGGTCTGGAATCTGCAAAAAGCAAAAGACCAGCAACCTCGTCAAGGAGGGGCTGGCAGCCCCGTCCCCGCCCTGCCCACCCGTCAGCAAATAGCACCCCAACTGGTTCAGGAGAGGTGTGTGCCCCCACCAGAGCCCAGGCAGCTTCTATGGGCCAAAGCGGGTCTGCGGCTGCTGCCGCCTGCCCCAGAGCGACTCTCAGGGCTGGAGGCCACCCAAAACCCGCTGGAGGACCTCCAGGCGAATGGCCCTCTGCCCGCCTCCCTTCCTTCCATGCCAGCCTCTGTGCCTGGACCTGTGCCTGCTTGTCTCAAGCCCCTGCCCCATGCACTGGGAGCTCCCGCGTCACACAGGGGCCAGGTTGTGGTGAGCCTATAATGACATCTAACACTGGCTCACTAGTCACGAAAGGGAGGCAGGGGTGGCCCCCAGGCACCCAGTCCTTCCCTGGGCAAGGAAGCTCAGGCCCACCCTCGGATCACACAGCCCCTAACACCCTCGGGAGGCCACGTATGCAGACAGGAGTGTGCCAAGAGCTGCACGGGCCGCCTAGACCAATCCGCCAGGAAGACACCAACATGGCCACACAGCCACTCCTAAAGCTTTCTGCCTTGAGCAGCTCTGGGTAACCGGGAGCCCCAAGTCCTAGCTGACAGATTCACTAAAGGTCAACCACAAAGACAAAAGACCAGTCGGATGCACTGTGAACGCACCATGTGGACCCTTGTTGGGTCAGGGACGCACTCATATTTTTTCTTTTGTGGTACAGAGGATCAAACACAGGGGCCTCACACTGAGCTACAGCCCCTTTGTAAACTCTTTAGTTTTTTGAGACAGGGTCTTGCCAAGTCTGGGGCTGGGCTGGAACTTGTGATCTTCCTGCCTCAGCCTCCCGTAGCTCCGGGATGACAGGCATGCGGAAGCACTCTTAGTGGTACCTTGTCCGAGGTTACCAGCCGCAGTGTCTGGCAGGGAAAAGAACCAGATGATACTCACAAGATGAGACACAGCTGGGTCTCAGTTTAACAGCTGTGCCAGGCCTGCCACAAGTGTGCTGGTAGCTGCTGTCCCCAGCACAGCGGTCACCTTTGCTAGCTGTGGATTGTTCCCTAGAGGCCACTACTAACCACTGCCCAAGCACCACTCCGAGAGACGCTATCTGGCCTGGGGCACATTTTTTAAAAACCGTGTCAGCAAAGCTAAATCTTCGTCCTTGGAGAGTAATCTCAAGTTCTGCCAACAGCCAGCTGTTCCGGGAGCCAAATTCTCCACCGGCCAAGGGGGAAGAAGTGTGTGACAAAATAACAGGCGAAATAAATAAAAAACGACAAACTCAGAAGTCTCAGAGAGGAAGTGGGTAAACCCTGCCGAGGGCCGCTCACAGCCTGGAAACCGGTTCTGTCTTATTGTAAAGAGCCCGCTGGCTACGCAAAGCTCAGAGCTCCCATTGACACACAGACCCTCTGGGGACCACACCCTCAGGAAGTCACCGTGAAAGGACAAAAAGACCGTGTACGGCAGTGGTATTTATAAAAAGCGGAAAACCTATAAACAAGCCAAAGCAATTGCCAAGCAATGGGGGCGCTTAGCAGAGCTGGAGGGGGCCTCCTGGGCCGTGAGACCCAGCGCAGTACTATCCTGCTCTCTGAGCCTCAGTTTTCTTATCTGGAAAATGGGACAAGTCATGCCAGGTGTGGAGGACAGAACCAGATCTCAAAAGCGAAGGCGGGGCTGGCGGTAGCTCTGTGCTGGAGCACTTGCCTTACATGTACAAGGCACTGGGTTCCACTCCAAGACTGAAAAAAGAATGCAGAATGTGCTTAAGAGTCTAATTACTGTTTACTCGTAAATGGGGCAAATTAATTCCAAATCAGGCTGGGGACAAGTTCTCACTTAGCATGAGTGAGGCCCTGGGTCCTGTGAAAATAAAGAGAAGCCTGAAAGCATAGTGAAAAGAATTAGACAAACCCCTGGGGAACCCAGCCAGCTCTCTGAATAACCATCAAGACCCCGAGGCTGAGGGAAGTCCGGGAAACTGTCACAGGCCAGGAACCTACAGTAAGGATCCAATGTAAGGCATCCCTCCAGGACTCTGATAAAGACCAAAGCAAATCTCATCGAGGGCGGAGGTCAGATTTCGTAAGTGCTTTTCCCCTAAAAGAGCACCTTCAGTCTGCTCTTCTTCATTTATTGGTTCCCTTGTTCTTTGAAATAACTGTGATCTTCTCAGAAACCCATCTGGCACCAGAGACCCGAGTCCAGGACACACTGTGCAGTGGTGGCCCTGGGACAAATACATGGTGTCCCATGAGCTCCTCTGAAAGCCAGCACGTGAGTTCTTTTTTTTGTCTTTTTGAGACAGGGTCTCGCTATGCAGTTCTGGCTAGGCCTTGAGCTCACTTTGTAGCCCAGGCTGGTCCTGAACTTGCACGGACCCTCCTGCCTCAGCCTCCCCAGTGCTGGGATTACAGGCGTGCGCCACCACACCTGGTCCCAGCACTGAGTTCTGACCATGTGAGATTTGGAGATCTCACTCCCTTCCATCTCCGTCCTTGTTCCCTTTCAGTCCCACCCTCCGGCTGTGACTCCCGCAAAAGAGGCCCAGACAGGCCAGGAGCCGCTCAGAATGGAGAAATGCCGAGGAACCAAGGATGGGTGACATCGCAAGCACATGAGAGCCCTGTGATCAACGACCGAATCATCTATGCCAGGGATGGTAACAGATCTTCCCAGATCGCACCACATGAATGCGACAGGAGTCCCAGAGGCCGCACGGATGTAATCGCACAAGTGCAGGAAATGAAGGGTAACAAACAGCAGGTAGCTGTGTGGCCCCAAAGGCCTCCCTCAGAAGCCAGAGGTCACCGCGGGGAAGAAGGGGGCTCACAGTGGACGAGCCCGGCCCATGCACCAGGAAAGGGATCCCAGAAACCTGCCAAGATGCCTCCGGGAGCCCAGCATCGCTTCTGGGCTCTTCCAGCCAAAGACACACAACCCACCTGGCAGACACACCCGCAGTCAGGGGTACCTGCCAAGTCACCGGCCTGCTCCCGGGCGCCAAGGCCAAGAAAGCAAGGGCAGGGTGGGAACGGACCCAGACGGGCGGGAACTCCCAAGACCAGGCGGCCAGGGGCAGCCTTCGCTCCTGAATGGGGCTCTCCTGCCGTGAAGGACATCGTAGGGACAAACAAAGAACCCTGACAGGCCTGGGGACTGGTCAGGGGCAATGAATCAGCACAAGCTCCTTGATTCTGATGCTTGGGAAACAGTTCAGTGAAAATAACGCCCTTGTTTGTGTGAGGTACACGCTGAGGCATTGGGGTCTAATGAGGCACCCAGTCAGAAAGCTCCTCTCAGAACGGTTCAGGAAAAAGTCAGCTCTTTGCACCGTGCTTGCGACGTTCCGTGAGTCTGAAATCACTTCAGAATTCCTCAAGCGCCATCCCCCTAAAGTGAAGGTCCAGGCAATGACTCCGTACACACTAACCTGAAAGAATTTCCAACCAGCGCTTCTCTACCAGGACCAGCTCTCCCTCCCTGCAGCCCCTGGGACAATGCCTGAGACATCGTTCGTCACCACAGCTGGGGCAGAGGTGCTACTAGCCTCTAGCTGCCGGCCATCCCTCAGCGCTGCTGAGGGCAAGAAACCTTTTTCCAAACATCTCAGCAATAATTTTTTTTTCGGTTTTTTTTTTTTTTCTGGTACCGGGAATTGAACTCATGACCTTGCGCTTGCCAGGCAGGCGCTGTGTCGCTGAGCTAAATTATAGCAAATTCCGGTTTGCTAAGTGGGAGGACTTCAAAAGGCATCTCCCTCCCGGACCTCAGGCTGCCTGACTGTGAAATGCAGATGGAGCATAAACGCCTCAGGAATACGACGAGATCACAGGCGTGCTTTGCAAATGGCAGCCACCAAGGACACATGAGGTGAAGCCACGGCTGTTCGGGAGAGGGCGCTGAGCATGCAACCGCGCCTGCGCAGACGCCAGAGCCCTGACACACACGCCGTGCAGGGCCCAAGGGTCTCCTCGCAGAGGCCCCGGTGCACCCACCCCGCTCATCTTGAGCCCCTTCGAGCTGCTAGTCTGAAAGCTTGCGACACTCTGTGCCCGGCGCATTTGCCCTTCCGGCTTCCCCGTCCTCTGCGCTCAGGCCTGGGACCCAGACCCCCAGCGACCCCTGGAAGCCGAAGGCCGGAAATGGCCTGAGACAGAACGTCCGTCCCGAGGCTCGGCCTCCGCACCTTGGAGTTCCGAGCACGTAGGGGAAGGTGCTTTTTTGTGTTTTTGTCTTTTGGTAACAAAACTGTTCTCACGAAGGGCAAAAGAAAGAAAGAAAAAAAAAAAAAGAAAAAAGAAAAAAGAAACAACTGACAGCAATGGAAACTCTAATACTAGAAAAATGTCAAGAAAGCAAATGTCGGTTTTAATGAGACACGGGGCCTGACAGCTCATGGAAACAGGCTTGAAACCATCAAAACACAGCCCCTCCTCGCCGAGGGAACACAGCGCTTGCTTGTGATATGTGTCAGCCTCAAAACACCCCTCAGCAGACTGGGGTTTCGAGCCCAAGTCAACAGTCGCAGGGACGAGGGGACGGGCTGACCCCGCTACAGGCTGGGGCAGCAGCCGGGCCGGCCTCCCTGGGGCCAGCGTCTGGGCTGGCGGGGCGGCTTCCGGGCTGTGTGGCCTGGCTGCTGTCCACTCGCTGAGCCTCGTGGCCTCCCTCCCAGGGAGGACCCCCGTGGCTGCTTCCTGCACCCCCGAGCGAGGCTCAAGCTGTCCGCTTGCTGGCCCGGCGCATAGTGGGTGCTGAGGCAGCCCTCGCCCTGCCCGGAAGGGGTGGCACAGGGAGCAGGGACCCTCGGCTGGCTGCAAGCTGGAGAGCCTTTCCAGGGGCACCTGGGCGGCTGGGGCACTGGGCAGGAGGCAGCCTGGAGGCTGGGCAGGGTCAGCGACAAGGACCGGGAGGGTTCCGTGGTCCATCAATGAACCACAGCCCATGTCCTGAGGGCGGCTGGAGGCTGGCGCTGCACACCTGAGCGCCACACCTGAGCGCCACAGGCCCCTTGGGGATTCATCCAAGAGTGACCTCCCCAGCAGGTCCCATGGCACGCCCCCGCCCCATACAGGGAGGAAACCAAGCCCCAGAGGCCTGCGCAGCTCCCCAAGGCCACCTGGGAGCCACTACGTGGCTCTGTCAGCCCACCCCGGGCTCCTCGGCCCTACAGCCGCGGCTAAAGTGAGGAAGGGAGCAGAGGGAAAAAGGGAGCAAGGAAGGAAGGAAAAGGGAGAGGTCAGCAGGCTGGCGGGGGGCGCGCAGGATGTCCCCGGGCACCGTGGTGCATGAAAGGAGCCCAGGTGGACATGGCACCTTACTGCCCCCAACGCAGCTCCTGCCCACACACGCCCCCTGCAGAGGGGCTGGAGAGAAGAGGAGCAGCCTGCGGGGGGCCAGCGGGGGCGCCAGCGAGCTCATCTCCCCAGCAGCCCTGGGGACACCCAGCACGCAACACCCAGCACTTACCCGCAGGCTCCAGCTTGGGCCGGAAGGTCTGGGTCGGGTAGCACAGGTGCAGCTCTGCAATGACACCCGGCAGGCGGGGGTGCTACCCAGAGAGCGGGCCAGGCGGGACCCTGACCGGGGCCACAGAGCAACCTTCCCCCCAGAGCCCGCGGACACCCCACTCACTCTGGCCAATCCGCGCCCTGCAGGCCCTCCGGTAGCACAGGAGGAAGGAGCCGGAGCCCAGCACCACCGCCAGCACCGTGAGCACCCAGAAGAGAACAGGGCCTGGAACACAGAGCACGGCGTGGAGTCGGGAGCCCTTGGGGCAGCCACACAGGACGGCAGACTGCTTCCTCCTCCGTGTGAGGCTGGGGCTGCACGGCAGTACCTGGCTGCCTGATCCCGCCCTTACCTGCCCGTCCTCCCTCACCTGGCTCCAAGACACTGGCCAACTACTTATACTTGCGAGAAGCACACACCATTTTAACGTTAGAGGTTGAGAACTGGGGTGTGGAGAACCGCAAAGGGAACTGAGGTTCAAAACAACGACGTTGGAGGTCTGTGGGGAGGGAACTATCGCCACCTAGTGTTGACAACCAGAACTGCCAGTCAGTACCATCTCATTGGCACTTCTCACGACCGCCCAAGGCACAGGTAACACGCTAGCTACACACTACAGGATTACAACCTTCGTGGTCTATGCCATTGCCACCTCACATTTGAAAACAGTACGGCTCAAAGGAAACAAGCAGGGTCGGGATATGGCTCAGCAGCACAAGCACCTGCTGGCAAGCGC